AGAAGCAAAGAGGACAAATGGAACGAAGATGAAGAAGTAGTAGAAGTCCATTTGTTGTTGTTGACATAATGTTGTATCTTTGCTCCACTATGATTATACTGTTGTTCTTTCATCCCACTTGATCTGTTCTCAGCACTGTTTTGAAGGCCTATGCAATGTTCTCCTTTTAACTTCACTCTATATTAAATCTTGCAATTCATCGTATGCCTCCTGTTGTTTCTGTTGTGTAATGTCAATGGTTATGAAACCCAACTTGTGATGTTAAGTATACATAGGATATATCTACACTGCAGAGTTTATCCAGTTTGCTCCCACTTGAACCACTTTTGTGCAACGCTATGGAACCATGAAAGTTGTAGTTTGGTGAGACGCCAACATTTTTGATAGAGAAGACTAACATTGAGCCATGGTAGTAAAAGTGGTGTCAAACAGTATTGATTCTGTAGTGTAGAAGCATCCTAAGTCAAGCCGTTGGATGCTCATAAGGAAAATGTGAATAATATGAAAGACCCAGAAGCATGGCCACCTGAAAACACAAGATAATAGTATCCCCTTTCACACTATATACTGTAATGCTGGTTATCTTGGATATCTCAAAGGCTATATTCCAGAACCTTCTGGAACATCAAGGATGATTCTAAAGTCAATCTCCATCCTTCAGAACCTCAAAGATTCCATTCCAGAACCTCTTGGAACATCAAGGATGATTCTAAAGTCAATGTTCATCCTTCAGACATTCAGTCATGCCAGAAGCTGAAGATCCTTTGAAGTTATAGACCAGTGTTTCTCAACCTGGGGGTCGGGACAGGGGCGGCTCATCCATTACGCGAAGTAAGCGGTCGCAGAACACTTTTTTTTGCCAGGGGCGCAGAGGCGCCTCTGTAAATGCCCCTCGACTGCCACTTGAGGAGCGCCCCCTCAGCTCACAACAGCCCTAGCAGTCCGGGGGGAGCCTTGGCTTTCTTGCCTCGCTGCCGGGCGATCCTCTTCCCAAAGGGGCCGGGCCCTTGAGCCTCGCCTAGCCCCTCTCATTCCTGCTCCACCCGGCCACCGGGTGCGTGAGCAGAGCCGGTGCTGAATCGTTCTCCGCGTTTGATCCCTTCCCCATGACCTTTCCCGATCCCCCGACCCTTTCCCGATCTCCCAGTGCACCACCCGCCTCCTCTCCTCTCCCCAATCCGCGGGTGGGCCAAGGGGCGGAGCCGCCGTGCCTGGCCTGCTTCAGGTCCGGAGGCGTGTCTGAAGACCCCAGCGTGCGCACCAAAAGTCGCCTCTTCTCCTGACTTTCTCTTCAGCCATTGGGACCAAGAGAGAGAGAGAGAGAGAGAGAGAGAGCCCCTCCGGCTGGAGGTATCTCCCACCTCTGCTCCCTCCTTTGTTTTTGCGCCTACCTTCAGGAAAGGTGGGCATCTCCACCTCTCTCTCTCTCTCTCTCTCTCTCTCTCTCGGTCCCAATGGCTGAGGAGAAAGTCAGGAGAAGAGGTGACTTTTGGTGCACACGCCGGGGTCTTCAGGCATGCCTCCGGACCCAAAGCGGGCCAGGCAAGGGAGCAAGTGCGGCAAGTGTAGTTACTGGGATGTATAGTTCACCTACAATCAAAGAGCATTCTGAACTCCACCAATGATGGAATTGAACCAAATATGGCACACAGAACTCCCACGACAAACAGAAAATATATATCAATGATTGGTGGGGGGGGGCGCCAAAATACTGTTTGCTTACCTTTGAAAATTACCTAGGGCCATCTCTGGTCAAGGTGTATTTCTCCCAAACTCCACCAGTGTTCACATTTGGGCATATTGGGTATTCGTGCCAAGTTCGGTCCAGATCTATAACTGTTTGAGTCCACCATGCTCTCTGGATGTAGGTGAGCTACAACTCCAAAACTCAAGGTCAATGCCCACCTATCCCAGGATTTTTACTTGTTCATGGGAGTCTGTGTGCCAAGTTTGGTTCAGTTCCATCACTGGTGGCATTCAGAATGCTCTTTGATTGTAGGTGAACTATAAATCCCAGCAACTACAACCCCCAAATGACAAAATGAACCCCTCCCCCAACCACCAGTATTCAAATGCGGGCGTATTGGGTATTTGTGCCAAATTTGGTCCAGTGAATGAAAATACATCCTGCATATCAGATATTTACATGACAATTCAGAAAAGGAGCAAAATCACAGTTATGAAGTTGCAACAAAAATAGTTGAGGCCGGCCGGACTCTGTACCCGGAAATTTCCATCAGTGCCTTGAGGTCGTTACTGGATGGTTGCATGTCAGCAGGTTGAGGGTGAACCCAGCGAAGACAGAGATCCTTTGGCTGGGCCGTCCAGGTGGGAGGGAGATCCAGCTGCCAACCCTGGATGGCGAGACACTACGTCCATCACCTTCTGTAAAGAGTCTTGGTGTCTTTTTGGACCCTCTGCTCACAATGGAGGCCCAGGTCTCTGCTGTGAGCAGATCTGCATTTTTCCATCTATGTCAGGCTGGGCGACTGGCTCCCTTCCTATCTAGGAATGACCTGGCTATTAGGCCTGTGCGGTTTCGTTCGTTAATTCGTTAATTCATTATTAATTCGTTATTTTTGGCATTTCCGAAGCGATATCAAAACACATTTCCAAACCCGGAAGGGTTTTAAAATATCGAACCAGCAACCCCCATAGATTTAACGAGCTTCCGCTCGTTTCGTTAATGGGGTGGAGGCTGCTGGAGTGCTGGTGCCTGGGAGCCAATCCGGCGCTCCCAAGCAGTGCACCATGGGTCCGTGGCTGTCTGTTTTTGATTGGCCGGTGATCCCTTTCAAAGCGGCTCCACGCGGCCGTAGCTAGCTTGCTGCAGAGGGCGAGGGAGTTTGCATTGGGTTGGCTTGGCTGCTAGCAACTGGATTAATGGATTCATTCCTTGCTGCTGTGAGTGCTGCTTGCTTCATTTGCTGTCTCCTGCCTGTGTTTGGTCCACATTTGGGCCATTTTTTGGTTAATTTTCCATTTTAAAATATTTTTTAATATTATTTTTTAATATTATTTTAATATTATTCTTAAAAAATATTCTAAAAAAGAAAAGACTCTTCTGTTGGTGTGTGCTCTCATTTGCTGTATCCTGCCTGTGTTTGGTCCACATTTGGGCCATTTTTTGGTTAATTTTCCATTTTAAAATATTTTTAATATTATTTTAATATTATTTTTAATATTATTTTAATATTATTCTTAAAAAATATTCTAAAAAAGAAAAGACTATTCTGTTGGTGTGTGCTCTCATTTGCTGTCTCCTGCCTGTGTTTGGTCCACATTTGGGCCATTTTTTGGTTAATTTTCCATTTTAAAATATTTTAATATTATTTTAATATTATTTTTTAATATTATTTTAATATTATTCTTAAAAAATATTCTAAAAAAGAAAAGACTCTTCTGTTGGTGTGTGCTCTCATTTGCTGTCTCCTGCCTGTGTTTGGTCCACATTTGGGCCATTTTTTGGTTAATTTTCCATTTTAAAATATTTTTTAATATTATTTTAATATTATTCTTAAAAAATACAAAAAATATTCTAAAAATTCGTTAATATTTACAAAATTTCGTAAATACCAAAAAATTTTTGGGGGAAAGTTTTGTAATTATTTTAAATATCGAAACAAAAAAACACCCCAATTACAAATCGATTTTAGAAACAAATTTTTTCTTGATCAAACAGGCCTACTGGCTATGGTGATCCAGGCGATGATCATCTCGAGGCTTGACTACTGTAACGCCCTCTACATTCGCCTTCCTTTGTCAGTGATCTGGAAACTGAAACTGGTGCAAAATGCAGCTGCTCGTCTTCTCGCCAGGGTGCCGGCGAGGTGTCGTATCACCCCAATTCTCCAACAGCTGCACTGGCTTCCGATTGAATACTGGATTACTTTCAAGGTGCTGGTACTAACCTTTAAGGCCTTATATGGTCTGGGGCCGGCGTACCTGAGGGCCCGCTTATCCCCCTACCAACCCCAGAGATTACTTAGGTCTGAGGACCAAAATTTGCTTGAAGTCCCCAACATTCGGACTTATCACCTGTCCTCAACTAGGCAGAGAGCCTTCTCGATTGTGGCCCCTGATTTATGGGATGCCTTGCCAGTTGAAACCCAAACCATCCGAGACCTACTTGCTTTTTGGAAAGCCTGTAAAACCTTTCTTTTCCGACAAGTTTTCAATGGGTGACTAACTCGGGACTATGTCGTTTCTCGTTTTTATTGTATTTTAAGGTTGGTTGTATTGTTTTAATCTACTGCTGTAAACCCCGGTGGTGCAGTGGGTTAAAGCGCTGAGCTGCTGAGCTTGTTGATCGAAAGGTCACAGGTTCGATTCCGGGGAGCGGCATGAGCTTCCGCTGTCAGCCCTAGCTTCTGCCAACCTAGCAGTTCGAAAACATGCAAATGTGAGTAGATCAATAGGTACCACTCTGGCGGGAAGGTAACGGCGCTCCATGCAGTCATGCCGGCCACATGACCTTGGAGGTGTCTACGGACAACGCTAGCTCTTCGGCTTAGAAATGGAGATGAGCACCACACCCCAGAGTCAGACATGACTGGACTTAATGTCAGGGGACTACCTTTACCTATGTCGGTTCTCGTTTTTATTGTATTTTAAGGTTGGTTGTATTGTTTTAATCTACTGCTGTAAACCGCTCCAAGCCAAATTGGGAGTGGTGGTATACAAGTCAAATAAATAAATAAATATTTGCTAAAGAGAACCAAACAATAACCTTACTGTCTTCAATTTAGGGTGTCCTTTGCACTATTCCCTTTAGAGGGTGCTATATGCTCACAAGGAACCAAACATCCCATGGAAAGAGAGTACGATTAATTTTTAATGATGCCTCATTATCTTTGAGAATATCTTTCGTTTGCATCCACATCCGCTGGAGGCTGAGAAATAATTACGGCAGTGGCAAACCTGCTGAGCACAACTAAAAATGGCTTCAAAGGTGTGGGAGGAAGATTGAAAGGCAATGCATAACCTCAATGAGAGGGACTGCAACGAAGAAAAGTATCTGTTAGCCTGTGGGCTGGTCTACACTCGTAAAACAACCTGCATTCACCTTGAAACCTACACCGGCAGTCTTCAGAAGGAACAGGGGCGGCTCAACCATTACGCAAAGTAAGCATTCGCAATAGAATTGATTTTGCCCAGGGGTGCTCTTGAGGCGCTCTTGGGGAAAAATAGACCTTGACACATGCGAGTTGTAGTTATTGGGATGTATAGTTCACCTAAAATCAAAGAGCATTCTGAACTCCACCAATGATGGAATTGAACCAAAGATGGCACACGACGAACAGTGATTGGTTGGGTGGGTGGGGGCAGGGGGCAAAATACTGTTTGCTTACAGTTGAAAATTACCTAGGGCCGCCTCTGAGAAGTATGTGTAGAATAGGGATTTTCTGCACATACTGCTGTTAGGTACGATCACGGAAAATGTGGTCAATGGAGTGACAACGGATTAGAGGTCTTTGTTGTTGGGTAGGAGAGGGAATATCCTCAGGTCTTCCAGTTGAGTAGGATTGAAATACCCGTCCTACTGGCCTGTCCTTTATCCTGACCAGTACTGTGAGTAGGTTGGACTGAAATATGTGCACGGCTTGGTGTCTCCTCTGGCAAAACTTATTATTTCTTGTCCGTCTTCCTGCTCAGTTTCAGGGCTCATGTCTCCTCCATGTCGCACTGGGAGGACACTAGGGTTGTGCATTTGGGGTCAACTTTGACCCGTTTCATGTCTCAGCTTTCGGTGAGGGCCCCAAAATGGAAGGGCTGATTTCTTACTCTAGAGGCACTCTCTTTCCAAGGAGAATGAGTGTGCAGCATGGCGTGCAGACCCAGAAAGTATGTGCACCTGCCACTACAGCTGAGAGACTTTTACTCTTGAGTAAGAGGCACTCTCTTTCCAAGCAGAGTGAATGTGCAGTGTGGTGTGCAGGCCCAGAAAGCGTGTGCACTTACCAGTGTCTGCAGTTGAGGGTCTCTTACTCTAGAGTAAGAGGCACTCTCTTTCCAAGGAGAGTGAATGTGCAGTGTGGTGTGCAGGCCCAGAAAGCGTGTGCACTTACCAGTGTCTGCAGTTGAGGACCTCTTACTCTAGAGTAAGAGGCACTCTCTTTCCAAGGAGAGCAAGTGTGCAGCATGTTGTGCAGGCCCAGAAAGTGTGTGCACATGCCAGTGTCTACAGCCAAGAGCCTCTTACTCTAGAGTAAGAGACACTCTCTTTCCAAGGGGAGTAAGTGTGCAGCATGATCTGCAGGCCCAGAAAGTGTGTGCACTTACCAATGTCTGCATCCGAGCGCCTCTTACTCTAGAGTAAGAGGCACTCTCTTTCCAAGGAGAGTGAGTGTGCAGCGTGGCATGCAGGCTCAGAAAGCGTGTGCACCTGCCAGTGTCTACAGCTGAGAACCTCTTACTCTAGAGTAATGGGCACTTGGCTGCAGGTGCACATGCTTTCCAGACCTACACACCATGCTTTCCAGGCCAACACTAACTCTCCTCGGAAATAGAATGCGTGTGTGGTGTGTAGACCCAGAAACCGCATGCGCCAGCTAGTACCTGCCGCCATCCACCTCTTACTCTAGAATAAGAGGCATTCATCTGCAGGTACTAGTTGGTGTGTATGCTTTCTGGGTCTACACGCCACACATGCACTTGCAAGGAGGCAAGTTCTTCAGGTACTCGGCTGCAGACGAAAGCAGGCTTGGAGCCAGTATCGGCTTCAGCTTGCTTTCGTGTTGAGCTGATTTTCATGTAGGAAGGGGGCTTCCCGTTTCTTGCTCCCAAAGAAACGGGAGAAACGAATTCTGTGCACAACTCTAGAGGATACTATTGGGTTCTAAGCTTAGTCCTACCTTGCAGAAACACACGATGGCATTCCCTCTTCTACAACAAATACCTTTTTTCCAGTTTTCATTCCATTGATCACACTACAGTGGAGCTCAAGTCTCCATAAGAGATGGGTTGAGGGAGATGAATGCACATGTGTTTATGGTATGACTCCTTGTCCATATAACACCTCACTGACTGAGATACCTTCAACCCTTCAATTTCTCCAGAGCCATGGTTTAAAAGACATCTGAGGAGAGCAAAAAAATTCAGAAGCTGTCATCACTTTCTAGCTCTCCATGTCCTATAATTTCCTTTGGATGAAGACTCCAGCCATCCCTTGCTGTGAACATCTTTCATTCTCCAGTCCTCGACTAACCGGTATGACTTCTTCACAAGGGCAACTCCTACATTGTGGTCAGAAACCAGACAACTTTTCTACGTTGTTTTCTTTAGTAAACAAAACCTCCGGAAAGTGATCTAATGAGAAAGTTGTGCTTTCAACATCAGAACTCGGCAGTGAATCAGAAGCCATCAAAGTTATTATATTTAATTAAATTTCAATCCCGCTCTTTCTCAAAAACGTGAAGGTCTCTCATCACTTTGTCCTCATATAGTAGGGTTGGGAGGTGTATAGTAGGGTTGGGAGGACAATAGCTTTCCTTACAAACACGTTGTCTTTACTGAAGAAGCATTCATTTCAATCATGTGAGGCAGGGAGCTTTTTACTGTGCCCATCCTCCACCTTCTGAAATCTTAGGGATGGGAAATTATTTAGTTGGAGGACTCGTTTCAACAAAAATAGCCTCTGAACTTTTTGGGAGAAGAAATACTGTCTTCCTCTGGTTACATCCCCTTTAGACTACTGCAACGCTCTCTACGTGGGGTTGCCTTTGAAGACAGCTCGGAAGCTACAACTAGTCCAACGCTCGGCAGCCATGATTTTAACAGGAGCGGAGCGCAGGGAGCATACAACCCCCCTGTTGCGCCAACTCCACTGGCTACCGATCTGCTACCGGGCTGAATTCAAAGTGCTGGCGTTGGCCTTTAAAGCCCTAAACAGTTCCGGCCCAAGCTACCTATCTGACCGCATCTCTGCCTATGAACCCACCAGGACTTTGAGATCTGGGGAGACCCTGCTCTCGATCCCGCCTGCTTCTCAAGCTCGGCTGGCGGGGACGAGAGATAGGGCCTTCTCGGTGGTGGCTCCTCGGCTGTGGAACGCCCTTCCTACGGACATTAGACTAGCACCATCTCTAATGGTATTCTGCAAAAAGGTGAAGACCTGGATGTTTGTGCAGGCGTTTGAGTAATTTAGTGCAATCTGGTAATGGAACATAGGAATGGAACAATGGACAACGAACCTGGACTACGCTTGGATGATGAGAAGATTGGGTACGGTTGTTTTTTGTAATAATTGTGCATTGTAATTGCCTATTGGTAATTTATGGATAATGTGTTAAGTCAATTGTTATATGTTGTATGGAACCACTGCTGTTTCTACTGTTTTTACTGTTTGTGAACCGCTGTGAGTCGCCTTCGGGCTTGAGATACAGCCGTATAGAAGCAAAGTCAATAAATAAATAAATAAATAAATATGCTTCAGAGGAGCAAAGTGTGGTACAAGGTACACACTGTTAAATTTATTTATTTATTTATTTATTTATTTATTTATTATTCGAACTTATATGCCGCCACTCCCCTGGGGCTCGGAGCGGCTTACAAGAACGGCTAAAATCTAACACAATTTAAAAACAATTTTAAAACAATTTAAAAACAGCAATATCAAAGATCAAAGGCCTGTCGAAACAGATCTGTCTGACATGCCCTGCGGAAAGCTGATAGGTCCCGCAAGGCACGGACTTCGGATGGCAGAGTATTCCAGAGCGATGGTGCCACTGCTGTGAAGGCTCTGCGTCTGGTTGCTGTTAGACGCAAGGTCTTGACACTGGGAATAAACCTTGGTCCTCAGAACGGAGGGATCTCTGGGGTTGATAGGGGGTGAGGCGGTCCCTCAGGTACATCGGCCCCAGACCATGCAAGGCCTTAAAGGTGAGTACCATCACTTTGAAAGTGATCCGGTGCTCAATGGGTAACCAATGCAGCTGCAGTCAGATTGGGGCTATGTGGCATCTCATCGGAATTCCCGCAAGAAGCTGAGCAGCTGCATTTAGTACTAGCTTGAGCTTCCAGATCACCGACAGAGGAAGGCCAATGTAGAGGGCATTACAGTAGTCCAGTCTTGAGATGACTGTGACCTGGATCACTGTAGCTAGGTCGTCCCTGGACAGGGAAGGGGCCAGCTGTCTAGCCTGCCGCAGGTGAAAGAAAGAAGGCGGTTCTGCTCACGGCAGAGACCTGGGCCTCCATCGTCAGCAGAGGGTCCAAAAGGACTCCCAGACTCTTTACCAACGATGACGGGCGTAGCGCCTCGCCATCCAGGGTAAGCAGATGGATGTCCCCACTGCCCGGTCCACCCAGCCATAGGATCTCCATCTTTGCTGATCAACCTGCTGGCACGCAGCCATCCAGTCACGGCCTCGAGGCACTGATGGAAATAATGTGCAGGAATATAATATATGCCCTAGAAAGGGTTGGCTAAGCACCAACATCAAGGTCTACATTTGGTCCTTTTGTGATTCTATTGCAGAAATGTAAAGAAATTCTGTTAACAAATCATGAAGATGTGGACTTCTATTATTCCATACTTCTGAAGCACTTCTGATGCACATTCACAGCTTGGGAGTGATCCTGGACTCATCGCTGAGCCTGGAACCCCAGGATTCAGCGGTGGCCAGGAGAGCCTTTGCACAGTTAAAGCTTGCGCGCCAGCTGTGCCCGTACCTTGGGAAGTCTGATCTGTCCACGATGGTCCACACTCTTGTTGCATTCCAAATAGATTACTGCAATGCACTCTAGGTGGGGTTGCCTTTGAAGACTGTTTGGAAACTTTAACTAGTCCAATGCGCGGCAGCCAGATTGCTCACTGGAGCATCGTACAGGGAGCATACCACCCCCTTGTTATGCCAACTCCACTGGCTGCCAGTCCATTTCCAAGCACAATTCAAAGTGCTGGTCTTGGCCTATAAAGCCCTATATGACTCTAGCCCAGCTTACTTTTCTGAATGTATCTCCCTCTACGTTCTGCCTCATAGTCTAAGATCTGCCAGGGAGGCCCTGCTCTCCATCCCACCAGCTTCGCAAACGCGGCTTGTGGGGATGAGGGACAGCACTTTCTCGGTGGTGACCCCCACCTGTGGAATTCACTCCCCAGCGAAATTAGATCGGTGTCCTCC